TATATATATTATTTTTATTTTATACATATTTTTATTTGATTTGAGCAATATTTTTGGCGTTATCGGAAAAGCGTTTGATATTCGATCCAGATGGCCTTGGTGTAGGATTGGTTCTCCTCTTGTAGGAGTACTGATGTTTCACCAACAGTTGAATGTTTCTCATAGCACCAGAAATATATTGTACTTGATGCAGTGGCGGGAAAGTTTATGTTTGTATTGTCAGTTCACTTAGAGAAAAGTACAACGTAAGCGATATGTCAGATGTTTTCGATGAAATTCCAACCGTAGGCATCTGGCAGCAACTTCTATCAGTTATGCTAATTGAGGCAGTCCTCGCACATCGATCTGGCTTCGTGTATCTTTCTCTAAGTGAACGGACTCTACCACAAAATGAACATGAACGACAAATTAATGCGTGCTGGCGGAAGATGCCTTGCAAGAAGGACATGTAATCCATTTTGAAAGTACTAATACTGTCGGATAAATTGCTAAATCGGTGTTCTCATCTAGGCTATGGTCATCAATTTCGAGTATCAAGCACTTTTCAGTTTTCGATGACAGTTCTAGTTGACAGTTGCCCAACTTCCGTTGCCTCTTGAAATGCTGCGCACAGATTGTAAAATTTTACTTTCAACGCGCACAATCACGTATAATAAAATAAAGTCTATTGATGTTTAAGATATAGATACCTACCTAAACATATTACAGTCATTATGTTTTTGAGAAGTAATTTATTTTTTATTAGAATATAATAACGAGTTTAATTTAGAAAGAAAAAAAATGTTAAACCGACTCTATTATTTTACACATTTTCTTTCAATTTTTGTAATTAGAGAAAACCGAGATTAGTGTTTAGACAGGCACGTATCTAGAAAAATTCGTATTTTTGCAAGTGACCTTACTGGAAATATATTTATACTTCATCATTAGAAGGTCGTCAGTCCTAAGATTGAAAATTAAAAAGCAGCAATATTATTCAAGTTTCTTTACTCCTATTTCCACATCTGATAAGTCTGACTAATTTTCTTCTAACTTCTATACTACGGACAGAAAAGAAATTTTTTAAGAAAAGCAAATAACTTACAATTTATTTTTTATTATTGCCGGCTAGATTTTTAGCGATGGAAATAAAGTAGACTAGTTGTTATACTTCATTTACTTTCTCTAGCGATGTGCCCCTTCTAATGTCTTGGATGCGCGATGGCAAAATTGTAGGTAGGGAGAAAAAAGCTCATTATACTCTCGACTCTTGTTCATTAAACATACTTTTTCATACAGTACCTGCCAAAAGTTTTGTTCGATCATGAATAGTAGTGCGAGTCGAAAACAAGCGTTAAAGCCTTTAATATGTCTTCAAATATAAATAAACATCTCGTTGATATTTTCAGTAGTAAATGGTACCAATAACAGCACATTTGAGCAATACAATTGTAGTGGATAAAATGGTCAATTTTTCCGTGCAGTACTGTACGGATTATACGCTCCTCACCGGTTAAAAGTTTGGCCGACAGTTGTCTCCTTCCTTTTCTGGCCTAGTGCTGTTCTTTTCTACTTTGCGCCGGTCAAACTGAAGGTCACATCGCTAGAGAAAGTAAACGAAGTATAATAATGACTTCAATAGGTCTATTATGATTCGATTTCTAAGTAGATATGTGCCTAAATTTTTTTTAGAAGAGGAAATGCGTCAGTTAGATTGAGTAATTAATTAATTATTTATAGGTGTATAATTCGTATCAGTCGTTGTTAAACGGCCTGGATGTAATGCTGCAAGTGTGCCATAAATTACCATTGTCTATCGATAATTACAAGAAAAATGGAATTGTTTTTAACGTACGGAATTTTAATTAAACTTATACCCTTGTTTGTCTATCGCTTATTTTACTTAATAACATTGTAGAGACACTTTTTCATTTTACTACATCGTTGTACTCTGAAAATAGTTTTCTGTCACGTACTTTTAACAAGGGTTCAGGTTGAAGGCATTACTTTGTGACATTATTTTTGTACTTTAATCTGAAAATGTCTTCTTTATATTTCTTTGACGTAACTTCGGTGTTGGTTGCTAACAGGTCCACAGTACAAGTAAGAAGCTCCTTTATCAACTTGACCATTTAGTCCAAATATGCAATCAACCTGGGATGGAAAGGAAACATGTAAATACATCTCTCTTCTATCTCCTTTTATAATTCTCTCATATTAAGAAGCTGATTGCCAAAAAAACAGTAGTCCTTCGAAAAATTCTGTTCAATTTTTTGATCTGAAACTTAATTACGGTACCATTAACAATTAAAGATTACCTAAATTGGCTAATTAGATGCTACAAGGCGAAGTAGACCAATCACAGTACACATTTGAAGTGTGAACGATTTCTACTTATAGCGAGATGTGATTCGTCAATTGTTTCAATTTTTTTTAATTCTGCTGTAATTAAACGTATCGAAAAATGCTAAAGGAAATTTTATATAGTCGAAATTTTTGTCTTTGAGTATATTTTCTTGTAGCATAGTTTATTACTATTTGGTAGGCATTTGTTGCAGTTTAACTTTTTATACTTTCTTTACCAATTTATTTGGCAGTTAGCTCTCTTTCATTGAATTCACGTTTCACAACTTACTAAGCTATTTATTTCTTATGCGATTAACTTGATAATCGTTTCAAAAGCGCAGATTTCTTAATAGTAATTAGAAAAACGTGAGAGCTTTAAGCTTTTGAAACGATTACTTGCAATGCTACGATAAGTAGGCATTTAGCTAATTTTTTTTTATTTTCCATAAAAAGGGAGACAAAGCAAACAATTACGAAAATAGACCTGGTGGAAATCCGGCTGCAGATTACAGTGAAGGTGCTAGTCACGTCTTGGATGTAATCCACCAGATTTTAAATCATCACCGTGCTTTAGAACAAAAATGGCACGCAAAGAAAATTAAATTACACCAAAGATTAGCACTCAGACTTTTTCAGGAAGATGTGAAACAGGTAAATAATAAATATGTTAGAATTTTCTTGCTTCTGGAAATTGACGAAACACTACTCTACACGAAGAAAACTAAATGTTTATGACAACGCAAAAATTACAATTTTCGATTGTAAATGACTGAATTTGACGTAGAAATAATAGAATTTATTAGGTAACTTGTAATAATACTCTACACGAAGAAAACTAAATTTTTATGACAACGCAAAAATTACAATTTTCGATTGTAAATGACTGAATATGACGTAGAAATAATAGAATTTATTAGGTAACTTGTAATAATCTGGATTTTGACATGTTTCTGTAAAAATTATTCCAAGTTTCTTAATTATTACAATTAATGGTTCAGTGTAGGCTCACAGCCGTTGTTGCGCTACAGCGACTACCACACCGTCTTCGAGAATGTTCACTGTAATTGTGGACGAAACGTCAGGAGTTAATCCAAATAGACCACAGCCCATCAGCTCGAAAAGCTCTCAACATAGAACTAAAAGGAAATGTACAAAAAAACGTACTTCCTTCTACCCTTCATTAGGCTTGGCTCAAATTTTTAGATTCTGGCTTCGTCTTATTGATGAAATCCCAGTGACGGATTATGGTGTCAAAATTTTTCGACGTTTCGCCTCCTATCGCAAGAAGCATCTTCAGGAACACATCGTCGATTCAGGAACTCCAAGGCTGCAGCTGTCATCTGAAGAAAAAACTGAACAGTTCAGTCACTGCATCAACAACGTGAAGTTCCTGAAGATGCTTCTTGCGATAGGAGGCAAAACGTCGAANTCATCAATTCCAGGATATGACTTGAATAAATCAGGGACATTCTGCTTCTTTCAAAGTTGTCGCAAATGAGAGGTAACCACCTTGTGGTGGTAGTTTTTCTTTTGAATGTGATATAAAAGTCATTTTAGTAGTTGGAATTACCACTTCGTGATAGGAAAAGGATTCAACAGGATAAAAAACAGTCGGTTGTTAAGTTAATTATTTATTACGTAATTATTGAACAGTTTTCCTTTAGAAACGCAATTCTTCTTTGATTTATTATATCGCTGTTCGTTCTTTATCGATAGAAAAGCAATACTAATTTTTTTTTAATAAAGTGAGGGTCGTGTTATATTTTTAAACCATTCTTTTTACTTTTAAACATAAATTAGCTATCTACTTATTTAAATTAATTAGGCACAACTTATTTCTATTCTATTTTAATTTTGCTCTTATTTCCTGATTGATTGCGATCACCCTGTAACGAATCAATATTGATAATGGGAATATAATTAGCCATTAAAATACCTAAATAGAAAATATTTCAGGCAGTTTCGACTACTAATATCTGCAGCCACTTAAAAAGTCTTGAAACTTTGTGTGAAGTGCTTTAGTTTCCACCACGAAACTTTTGGTGTCACATGGAAATTGCTTTTTAGATAAAAATTCGCCGATAGATAGATGCACTCTAAAATCGCATTTCTCAGCATGAAATACTGAATACCTGTTTCAAACGATAAATGAAAAATTATGTCACTCTTTACTTCGTTATCGCGCTTGCAGTTTACTTTACACCTTCGAAAGAAGCTTTTCTTCCTTCCAATATTGATGTGAGAGCTTTCGAAAGCTGCCTCTATATTCAGACGTCAAAAATACGATGTTTAGCACGTCTGTGTGGCAGATGGTGCCACGGGTGTTACAATAATAATAAAAATCACTTACCGCATTGATCCTGTTTGTCATAACTGACTTACTTTACTCTCCCTGTCTCAGGGCGAAATTGCAATTTAACAAAATTATATACACAAAATAATTAGACTACAAATATGGAATTTGATAAACTTTTACCTAACTTTAATAAAGCGTTGGTAGTTAATTATTATGAAAATATAACATCTTTGTTGTATGTATTCATCAAAGGACGGGCATTATCCTTTGAAATTGATGCAGTTACCTTCAGCCATATTTTTATACAAATAATAAAGTAATATAAACTTTAGAGGCGTGTTGCACATTGTTCAAAAGATAGTTCCGATAGTTTCAGACAGTTTTTAAAGAAACAGGAGATATTTTCAGATGGACATGGTTATAAAAATATATTTCACACGCTCGTGCTACAAAGAAAGGAAAAATGCCCACGAGCAAATGTGTAATTTTTATTTTGTCTTACCTGTACGCAAAGGGAATAATCAGCGCAGTGCCGAAAATAGTGAGTCGATTTGAATGAAATTTTGGGAGGATTTTCTGACTATTACACAAGAACGTAGTAAGAACGGTTTTTGCGGAAATCGCATTCTAAAGGGTTGAAATAGTGGAAAACATTTCCCAAAAGTCTCACATGCAGTCGAGTGAGGTAATATTCAAAAATTTAAAAGAATGACATGCTCTCCGATTTTTTATTAGAATAGTAGTTCTTCAGTTTTATATATGTGTGTATTATTATCATAGGCGAAAGTGCAGCGGGTAACTGCTAGTAATGTTTAGATGCGCCGTACATAGACAACATTTCATTTTTAAAATAGTTTCTACGGTGCCTAGCGTCACTTATATGCAAAAGCTTTATTTCCGGAAGGTGTTTAATTAATTAATTAGACTGGAGGTTTTTGATGGCTTTCTACGGTCACTTACTCAGGGATTTTCCTGAAAACATCCCTGTATATTAATCATGTGAGAAATGCGATGATGAACTTTTTCGATGTTTTTGAATCTTCTGATGCCGTTCATGACCAAATATACTCTTTCTTGCGCTAAAACTACGAAAACACACGTGTTATTACTGTGCGCGTTTTAATCAGGCACACAACGAGTGAACCGTGTGCCCCGTCACAGCGCAGTCTTTTTAATCAACGTAAAACGCGAGATAATTAATTTGATACTAGGTGGGTGCCTGTCTACATCTATTTGTGATGCAAACACTACTTTCGAATTGCTTTTGAAAATATAGATAACAAAATAGTAGTAGGGATATAAAGCAAAGGATAACGCAGGGTCGAGTAGCCTTCAATAAAAATAAGTTATTTCTATGCTCGCGAACGGTTAATTTAGAAATTCGAAAAATATTGTTAAATGTGTATGTTTGGATCGCGGCGCTGTACGTGTGCGAAACATGGACGGTGGGCGCGGCGGAAAAGAAAAGCTTAGAAGCGTTCGAAATGTGGTGTTACAGGCGAATGATGAGGATTACCGTGGATAGAGAAGATTAGAAATGAAGAGGTATTAGAAAGAATAGGAGAACAGAGGACTCTACGGAAGTCAATAAGAAATAGGCGAGATAGGTTGATAGGATACCTTCTCAAGCATGAAAGTCTAGTCAGGGACATATAAGAGGCAGAAACAGGAGTTAAGAAGAGTAGAGGTAGACCTAGATTAGATTACTGTTCGCAAATAGTTAAGTATGTGGGATGTTCTAGTTATAGGGAAATCCAAAGATTAGCTCAGGATAGAAAGGAGTGGAGGTACGTGTCCAACCAGTCCTATGACTGACGACGACAGAATAAATGTATCGATTTTAGTAATTGCAAACAAATATGGTATTGTTTTAGTTAGGTCTCCAGGGTCTAGGTCAACGGCAGACCGCGGTCCAGATCCAGAACGCGTAAGATCAAAAACTGAACTGCCAAAAGTTTTTTGAAAGTATTAACTTTTGAGAAAGATTATCTGTGGATTATTACTGCGTCAACATTTGTTTAAAGGAGTAATTTACTTTCAAAAAATTTTGGCGGTCTAGTTTTTGACCCCCCGCGGTCCAGACCTAGAGCGCAGTCCGCCAGTTACTCTAGAGTCTAGGCCTCTAGGCCATGCCGCTGGATCATTTTTTTTATACGTTGAATTTTTTTGTGATGTACCAAATTACATCCTCACCTCTTCTGTTTTCTCTTCTTCTACAATCAATATTCAACACGTACGACAAAGCACTGTTTAGGATTATATAGCCCAGTTACAAACACACCGTATAAAATGTTAAAAATCGGTTGATTGGGACTTATGAAGGTAATTATGTTGGGTATCAAATTAAAGGAATGCAACGTTCAACGTCTGAAATATACCTTGTTACGGAGCGTGGCTCGCTTGGCGAAAGAAAAATAAAAACTTATGTATCTTCCGCTGCTGTACTGCTGTACCACATAGATTGTTCGGTAAGAACAATCAAAGAACTCGAAGGACCAGCGTATGTCCGATTAATAAGATGCGTATCACTTAATACGTTTATTAATCCTATACATACACACGACAAATTAATCTAACTTAAATTTACGATTACAAAAATTAATTGAAT